CTTATTTTCCGAGATTGTGTTTTAACATTTTGGATTTATTTTCTTCTTTTGTACTTTTGGGAGTTTCCTGACTTGGGAAATTTTTCGTTGTGATCGATCCCAGATGATATTCCTATGGAACTATTGGCCATCCTATTGTTCCTCTGTTTGTATAGTTTGATTTTCAACCCGTGGTTGGAAATTCATTGGTTGACTGTCACAGTCAACTTCGTAATTGTTTGATGCTATTTTTCTTTATCTTTATCTTTGTTGAGCTGGAAGCACCCCTCCTTTCACTCCCAGAAACTTCAACACTGGTCTGTTCCACGTTTTGGTTAGGCTAGAGCCATTTTAATAGAAATCTGTCATTGGTCGTTGTGCTTAAGAGCCGACGAACTGTAACTGGTGGCGATTCGTCAAATCGAGCATCCAGTTTTATTTTGAGTGTAATTATGTTAGTACCATAGACAGTTATGACAAGTAGTTTTTGTTGTTTGTCTTTTTTATTTTGTTTGATCCCATGAAGTCATGATGTATTGTTGCAATAGTTAGAAAATGCTACTGTTGTTCCAACCTGATTGTTGTTTGCCCTAATCGAAAACCTTTCCTGTTTGTCCAGTTTTCGCTCTTACGTGGGGGTATTGTAGCATTTGCAATTTCATTGATTCTTTGGTATATATTGGAATCCCCTCGTATATGTAATATATTGAAATCCCCTCATATATGTATTAAAATAACGAAGAATAATTTCAGTTCGCGTCTTTGGAGTTAAAACCCAAATATATTTCAATTCCTTCTTAGGCGGCTTGAGTTAATATAAACCATTTTAGAGTTGTTTATTAATTTCGCAGCTGCATATTTTCCTATCGATAATTCTTGATTTAAGCCGCCCGATGTACTGCGTTTTCAAATTAATAATTTACGTCTTAATTTTCGTTGTGTTTTGTTTATTTCAGCGTCTTGTTTATTCCAACTCATGTGAATTAATTTTAAAGATAATTTCATCACTTTCGTTGGAGTTATTTTGCTTGCCCTATCTCCACCCCCATAATTTCTGTCTCCATTTTCTAACCCTTATACTAATACCCCATGTGGTAGGCAAAATATATTCGTTACAAGTTGGCTAACTTATATCCCAATCCAATAGATCCAATCCTACCGCATGAAACTATCTGGTTACAACAGGACGGTGCAACACTCCATTATGTGCTTTAATGGAGAGAAATTACTTAAATGAAATCTTATTCTTAAATAAATTAATTGGACGAAGGGGTACTATTGAATCGCCAGATAGGTCGCCAGATCTTACGCGTTTGGATTTTTTCTGTGAGGTTATCTCAAGAACAAAGTATATGCAACACAACCAACTGGCATTGAAGACCTCAAAGAAAGGATAACTACAGAAATACGAAATATTTCACCTCAAACTTTAAACAAAGTTCGGGACAAGTTTTATAGGAGACCATTTTGAGCATTTATCCAATAATCACCTCGGGTATTCCGCTAATTAATGGTCTTGAAGAAAATTATAGTTAATTTCAAAATTTCACCTTGTATTATTCATAATAGACCCTACATGATATAGTTCGTTGAGATCAGGTTGTCAAAGGAGCTTTTAAAAACATAAAAATATACAGGGTGTTTAATTTAAAATACAGATTATGGACTATGCCAGACTTGCGTGGATCACCCTGTACATTCAAATTTATGTTTAAAAAGCGCACATTTAAATTTAAAAGTTAGAGTATCTCAACGTTTATTACTTTCTAAAATAAGAACACAAACAATTTTATTCCATAAGTGGTTTCCACACTGGTAATACGTATTATCAATTTGAATTCCCTAAACTACTTCTTCAGTGATAGTACAAATTTAAATTAATTTAAAGTAATGATGTGCATTTGATATTTGATGTAAAACAATGATACTCCATTGAAAAACTTGGTTTTCCTTCGTTTCTTTTATTCTGTATATAAATGTTCAATCTGTCATATTTTTTCTATTAAACTCGTTTCCGTCTCACTTTTTAAATCCGATATATTTTATTTATTTCAAAATTTTATACGAAATAATTAATTGCTAAATATTTATATATATATATATATATTCAATTCATGTATATCTATAATGTGCTTCTACTTTTGATTTAGCAGGTACATATTCTTTAAAATTTAAACGCTAACAGAAAATGCAAATGATAATTACAACACTTTCATTTACCACAAGAAACAGAAAAAAGTTTCCATCTATTTTTTAATACGAATCTTCTAACGCTGATAAATTCTCACTTGTAAATGAATAAAAATACGAAGGTGTTATTTCTTTCACTCCTCCATTCCTGATTTATACTTCCCAAAAATATTCGCATACCTTTTTCCTAGTTTTATCGACTTTCCCATCCATTTAGACCAACAACTTTCTTTTAGATAAATATTGATTCTTTTTGGTTTTCTTGAGGCCACAAATATTGAAGTCATTATTGTTATATTTTAGCTGCTACACGGAAGAATTTAATTGAGTTTTCATCATTAAGAAACATCGTTTTACAAATTTATAGGCCGTGTTCTAGATTTATTTCGTCTTGACAACGCTTGATATATTATCAAAGACTATTTTTTCATCAACATTACTTTTCCTTGTTGTTTTTGACTTATTCTGTATTTTGTCTACATTATTACCTGTTCACTAGTGGCCAACATTCTGAAAACTTTACAAAAATTGTCGTTTTTCCAGCAACACTTGTCTCATTATAGTTTATCTGTATAATTACATTTTTATTTTATTGTTTTATATTTCTGCAAGATTCAAGCAAAAAGCCGAAAATTCGAGGTTTGTGAATGGCAACATTGGCAACACTGTACTGCGACAGGGTTTTGCTAGTCAGTCAACAACCCAATTGGAAGCGTTTAGTACAGTTTCGTGCGACTTCCAGTGTTTATTAGTGACGTCACGTAGTTGTTCATCATCATTCAGCCCATACTCGTCCACTGCTGAACATAGGCCTCCCGTAGTTCACCCCACAAATTTCTGTCCTGAGCCGCCTGCATTCAATTTTGATGTGTCCGTTTCAGGTCATCCGTCCATCTTGTTGGTGGTCGTCCTCTATTCCTAAAGGCATCTTGTCTGGGTCTCCACTCAAGAATGCGTTTTGTCCATCTGCCGTCCTTCGTTCTCGCGACGTGCCCTGCCCAGTTCCATTTTAAGGTTGATATTCTTTTGATTGCGTCGGTTACTCCCAATCTACGGCGCAATTCTGTGTTGGGTATTCGGTCTCTCAGGGTTAATCCCAACATGGACCGTTCCATTGCCCGCTGTGTTGTTCGAATTTTGTTTGCGGACGTCTTAGTAAGTGTTAGCGTCTCCGCACCATAGGTTAGAATCGGCAGCACACATTGATCGAAGACTTTTCCCTTCAAGCAGATGGGAAGAGCTGATTGGAAAACATCTCTTAGCTTTCCATAAGCTGCCCATGTCAACCCTATTCTACGTATTAGTTCATTGGTCTGGTTATCTCTACTTAAGCGAATTTCGTGTCCCAGATATTTGTATGCTGATGTTTGTTCTATACTTGTTCCAGCTATGTTGATGTTCTCACTCAGAACAAGGTTTGTCATCACTTGTGTTTTTGAGTTATTGATCTTTAAACCCATTTGTGTAGAGGCATGGTAGAGTCTTTCGCACATTTCGATGGCATGATCTATGCGGTCTGTTATCAGGACTATATCGTCCGCGAACCTGAGGTGACTAAGCTGCTCTCCATTTATGTTTATGCCCTTTTCGTCTAGGTTTGCACGCTTACACATGTATTCCAATAATGTTGTAAACAGTTTTGGTGAAATGGTGTCGCCCTGGCGAACTCCACGATGAATGTTGAACTTGTGTGTATCTTCATGGAGTCTGACGCATGCCGTGGCATTATCATAGATATTTTTGATGACAGTGGTGTAGCGGTGATCTATTCGGCACTCTTTTAAAGCTTCTAGCATTTTCTGGTGGTTTACTGTGTCGAATGCTTTCTCATAATCCACAAATACTAGGACGAGGGGTTTATTGTACTCTATACATTTTTCGATGAGGCTTTTAATAACTTGTAGATGGTCGTTTGTGCCGAAGCCTGACCTGAATCCTGCCTGTTCGCATGATTGGTAAAAGTCCATTTTGTTCGAAAGTCTGTTTGTTATGACTTTTGTAAAAAGCTTGTATATGTGTGAGATGAGGCTGATTGGTCTATACTTTACGAGATTTGTTAAATCTCCTTTCTTAAACATTAGAATGATCACTGCATTTTGCCATTGTGATGGTGTTGTTCCTCTTTCAAGGCATTCTGTGAAAAGTATGGAAAGCATTTGTATCAGTTTCTCGCCTCTTAATTTTATGGCTTCGGCAACGACCCCGTCGTTGCCAGGTGACTTATTATTTTTCATTTGTAGGAGAGCTTTTTTGATTTCATCAACAGTAACATCTGGTATGTCTTCCGAGCCCTGGTTTAGAACCTTTGGTATGTTGTCAGTTGGAACATTTTCTTCTGTTTTGCTGTAGAGTTCGCTCTAAAATTGTCCGACAGTTTGTAGAATTTCCTATTTATCTGTTATTATTTCGCCCTTTGTGTTTTTCAGTTTGTAAATATTTTTCTTTCCTATTTGCTGTTTCCTTCTGAAGACTTTTAAACTTTTGTTCTGTTTGATATCTCTCTGGTGTTCTCCGTAGTCTCTTATATATTTTCTGATGTTCTTAGTGATTTGTTTGTTTAGTTGTCTCATTTTTGTTAGATTGGTTCTGTATTTATCTGTTAGTTGTCTTCTTTCCTCTAATAGAGTTTTCGTGCTTAGACTTAGTTTTTCTTCGTCTTTTTGGTTTTTTGGGCAACATTTTTCTTGTGCTTGTTTCAGAGCTTTGACTATTTTCTGGTTTAGTTGTTACTAAGGTGATATTGTTTAATTGTCGGAGAGAAATACATCAGTGTCGATTCAACGCAAATGGCAACAAGAAACCCAAAACGTGTTGACTGGTTGTCAGGAAACAGAACCAAAGCAATTATCCTTCGAGAAGAAGGTTAGACATATCAAGAAATAGTAAACAAATTGGGTGGTTCCGCCACAAAATCAGGTGTAATGAAAGTTTGTAAACGTTCTATCTATCTATCGATCTATACCCCAAAATCTATTCATGTGTTGAATATAGGCCTCTCCCATTTGTCTCTGTCTTCTGTTTGTCTTTTCCACATTGGACCTGCGCTTTGCCCAATGTCATCTTTCCATCTTATTTGCGGTTGACCTCTTGACCTTTTTGCAGTATATGGTCTCCAGCGGCCAATTTCTTTATTCCATCTTCCATCCTGATATCTTTCGTTATGCCCAGTCGTTCTTAATTTTAAAGATATTTTTTGGTTTTTGATAGTATATGAGAGTTTTCCGAATGCAGCCCACTCCATTCTTATTCTTCTGGTTATTTCTTTAGTCTGGTTACTTTTGTCTGCTCTGATAGATTGTCCTAAGTAAATATATTCTTGGACGTGTTTTATGTTTGTTCCACCTATGGTAATTACTGATCTGTCTTCTGCATTAGTCATTATTTTAGTTTTCTTTAGATTCATTTTTAGTCCTTTCTCAAGACATTTGTTTTCTAGGTCTGCAATCATGATTCGTAGTTATTCCATAGTTGTTGCTATCAGGAGTACATCATCGGCGAATCTTAGATGATTTAAATATTTCCCGTTTATACAAATCCCGTTATTGTCCCAGTCTATAGATTTAAAAATGTCTTCCAACGCCAGAGTAAATAGTTTGGGTGAGATTGTATCCCCTTGTCTGACACCTCTACAAATTCCAGTTAATGGAGTTTGCAAATCTCTGTCTAGCTAAATTCTCATAGTGGCGTTTTGATATATATTGTGTATTAGCATTGTGTATCGTGAATCTATTCGGCAATTAACTGGCGCTTCTTCCACTGCCCATAGTTCTATGCTGTCAAACGCTTTTTCATAGTCAACAAACGTATATTGCAAGGTTGTATTCGTTGGTCTTTTCTATCAATATTTGAAGAGTGTGAAGGTGGTCGGTTGTGCTGTACCCCTTTCTAAATCCTGCCTGCTCAACTGGCTGGTATGCATCAAATTTGTTGTTTAGTCTAGTTGTGATCACCATAGTGAAAGTTTTATAGATTTGTGACAAGAGAGATATTGGTCTATAGTTAGCTAATTTTGATCTATTTCCTTTCTTTCTTAGTCTTTTATCTTTTCTCCTTCTTCTTTTAACATTTCAATTAGAATTTCATCGTCTCCCGGAGCCTTATTTTTTATCATATCTCTAATTGCTTTTTCTATTTCTTCTCCGGTTATGGGGGTTAATATTTCAGAGTTTACATTCATTATTTTCTTTTTCAGGTTTTGAACAAATCCCCTTCGTTGGCTCAATGGAGATGTTCGTTCAGTTGTAATGGAAACACCAAATAATAGTAGCAGAGTTTATTGATGAGACGTACACTATGGGTGTTGACCCGGGATTACTTTGAGTAGAGACTGTTGCAGTTGATCGCTGAAGACTATCAAGTTTGTTGAGTGAATATTGATTGAATGCTTCTCTAGGCAAGAGATATTAATTTTATATAAGTTTTAATTGGGTCAATATATTCGCGGGCCTCGCGTGATATGTGTGTCTAATTTATGTAAATTGTTTAACTTTGTCAGCAATTTTGACTGATGTCCAAATTATATTGTTGATAATTGACCAAATCCGTATGTAACCTAATTAACTACGTGTGTGTATTTAATAACAAATAAATTCATTCGGTCTACTGGGTGATAAAATTATACTGTCCAATTTCGGATATGAATTCTGAAGATTTGATATTGGACAGGTTTTGTTGAGTTGTATCAGGTGGACTGTTTTTAGAGCTGTAGAGGTCACTATAATATTCCCTTGATATCTTAGATATTTGGGTTCTGCTTTTTTCTATTACACCTTGTTTATTTTTCATCTCTATGATTTTATTTCTTCCTAGGTGGGACTTGATAGATCTTAAGTTTCTGTTTTCTTCTATAATCTTCTTGATGCCGTTTGAGATCTTGTTTTATATGTCTTCTTATTTCTGTATTAAGGGTTTTGTATTCAGTTGTATTTCTTTTATTTTCTTGTAGTAGGCTTCTCCGTTGTTGTAGCGTTTCTAAAGATATGGCACTTAGTTTTGGTTTTTTGTCTGATTTTGGTGGTGCTACTTCTCAGCTAGTCTTTTGGCCTGGAAATTCTTCTTCTTTAAGTTCCATCTTCTATCGAAGGTTGGAAATCATCATGGCTATGCGGACTCTGTTGACTGCCGCTCTAAAAAGTTCTGCACTACTGCATTCAAACCACTCCCTTAAGTTCTTAAGCCAGGATATTCTTCGTCTTCCCACATTTCGCTTTCCTCTGATTTTGCCCTGCATAATAAGTTGTAATATTGCGTATTTTTGCCCTCTCATCACATATCCCAAGTACTCAAGTTTTCGTCTTTTAATAGTTAATATTATTTCCGCCTCATTTCCCTGGAAATAGTCCTGGAAATAGTCCCGATTTAAATCCAATAGAACATTTATGGTCAAGGTTGAAAGTGTTAGTATCACGCCGAAACCCAAGTAACAAGAGAGAACTGATCAAAGTCATAATTCAAAAGTAGTTTACAGTTATTACACCAGAAGATTTGGCTCGCCTCTTGAACTCCACGCCTCGCAGAATCGACTGTCCTAAAAAACAAAGGTTATGCCACCAAATATTAATTTTCTTGATAATAAACATTGTACCATTTTTTAAAAATATATCTACTAATAGATGAAGGCTGTTGTTTGATTTATTTTTAAATTTTTAGAGGGTTTTTCCTTTTAAAATATTTTTGTAGTTACCAGAATTTTGTCGACTAACGTAGTAATTGATATTCGATCAACGAATCAGAGATATAACTGCAAGAAATAAGTAATTATTAGAAGTAACATACAAAACAATGAATGATACGATTATCAACAGCGAGACATTTAAAGGTTTAAGATGAACAATAACATTTTGGATCATTCAAATTTCTTGTGGTATTTTTTAAGTTTAGAATGGTTTGTATGACGAAGGGAATTTTGAAGGTAAACTTCTTTTCAAATATTTAACAATATGTGTCCACTTCAGTTCTTCGCAAAACTCGATAATTTTCTTTTCCACTTCTTCAGTTGGTTTGTCTTCTTGCATTTTCAATAAATGTTTTAATAATCTACCGTATTGATTGTATAAAAATGCATGCCAAATTGCGAAATATTGGACGTGGCTTGTTAATACCTACAAAAAAAATAATTAGGTAAACTTGTATACAGTGTAGGAAAAAGTTTATGGTCGGTATGGACCTTACGTGAGATGGAGTGAGAAACAGATGTTTAGAAAGAGAGAGGTATATTAGGTCCGCCCTTTATATCGCCAAACATGCATGCCTGGAAAGCCAAACGGCCAAACCAGACCAGATCAGACCGACGTTGCCAAATAATTATTGTGTATGAATATTTTTTAATGTGGCGTTATTGTATGCAGTTTATTATTTCATATTGAGGATAAGGCACAATGTGACTTTAAAATAAGCTTATTTTGATGTTTGGATTTTTAATTCGGAAATCATACTTAAAATACGAAACATTAATAAATTTTATTTATATAAAACGATTTCCGAAGTGGAAATCAAAATGTTATATTACACTTATTGTAAAGTAAACTTGTGGCATATTCCCAATAAAAAAACAGTAAGCTGCCATTTAAATCAATTTCGCCCAAATTGGATTATCTTAGAACATTGTTCAAATGCAAAAAAAACAACAGGTTAAATAAATCCAATAAGTTTGGCAACGTTGAACTTCCCCTCTTTTATTATTTCCACAAATGCATTTTCGACGATACAAAGGGCGGACCTAATATACCTCTCTCTTTTTAAACAGGTGTTTCTCACTCCACACACGTAAGGTACATACCGACCATAAACTTGTACCTATACCATATAGAATAATGGTCATAACTTGTTAAATACTCTGTATAGTAATGCAAAGCCCAATATTATAAGAATAAGAAAAATGAGAGGAATATAAATATGAAAAGATAATATATAGGGTGTCCCATTTAAAAAATTGTATGTTTGCTATACCACGTAGTTATTAATTACCCTGTAGAATTGAACATATTTTCCAACTATGGAGAATATCATTGCATACAGTTTTTCTAAATTAGTTTGGGGGGGGGGGACCATAAACAAAAAAAATGACTTACCTTTGCATCAGTAGGATCAACAAATTTAACTAAAGTTTTCCATACTTCTGATAGTTCTTCCTTGTTGGATTCGGCTTGTTCAGTCTCGCACAATATAAGCCGACACAAAGCTATCCCTTTCCGTGCTATACATTCTAGATAAATATTTTTCTGTTGTTCCATGGAACTAAAAGTATTCATTTATTAAACCTTGATGGATTCTAAGGAACTAGTTATAGCCCAGAAAATATGACAACTATATCATCTATTATAGAATTTTCCACCGCTGGATTTTTATATATTTGGTAAACTTACTTTTTAATTTTAACAGCATCTGGCCTCAAATCAGTCTTCATAGCCATAAAAGCTAAAATATTATTGACATCCATGCCAGATAAAGCTGTATTACACACATTTATTACTTTATCAAGATCTTTAACAGAACTAGTCGTCTTCTGGTTCAAGCTGGGCATTACTCTTTTGTCTAAGGGATCTATTACTTGTAAGTATACAGAATTAATGAGAACGTGGTCGGGATATCTTCGCAAGAGATCTGTATATATTGGTTCAGCGGAAGCGGCATCTAAAAGGAAAACTCTTTAGTCTTCTTTCTACTACACAAACGACTTGCTTGCCCATAAATAAACAAAAATAAAATATATCTAATACATACTGGATGTGATGGTTATAAAAATCTTGATAATTTGTAGGTCCTTTTTTTAGTTTATACGGCAGTCATTGATTAGACTCTTATAATTTGGTATCTCATTGGATCATTCCCCCTTCTTTATAAATCTACACTTAAATATATCATTACAATAATTTAACGCTATCACCAGTACACAGACACAAACATATAAGAAAGCTCAACCTTTTCTTCCGTTTGCCTAATTCCGAACTACCTATATGTGACAGTGAACCTTCAGTCCACTTATTCGCGTATTTTTTCCTACTTATTGGTAGTTCTGCTCCTCCACCACCAATATCCTTAGGCTCACTGTCTGTGTTTATAGATTCTATGTTCCTCCAAAATCACGGTCCTAACTTTCTCCTTATTGACTGGCAAGGTCAATGTTAGCGCAATGGATGTCAGCGTGTAACTCACGCCTTACTATGAGGTGTGAAATACCACCCTATATCTATAAGGGAATGACTGAACCCTTGGCTAGACCTCTGGCGTTTTTGTTTAATATATCAATTAAACAGAAATATTTTCCAGATATTTTAAAAGTTTCAACAATTTCTCAAATAGGTACATAAAATAGATAAAAAAATGACATTCAAAACTACAGGAATATCAGCCCGTTAAATAGTAACAACCTGAAAGTAGTCTTTATGATAATATATATGAGCATGTTAAGAGTAGAATCAGCAAATTCCAGCATGGTTTTGTAAGAGCCAAATCAACAGTAACTAATCTCTGTGTTCTCTCTGAACATATTGCTAAGGATGTTGAGGCAGGGGAACAGTTAGACGTTTTGCATACTGATTGCGAAAAAGCATTTGATAAGGTAAATCACTGTATTCTTTTAAATAAACTGGTACAGTTTGGTTTCTCAAGAAAAGCTTTTAATTTAATAAAATCTTATTTGTCAGGTAGAAAGAATACAGTAAAAGTAGGTAATTGCTTTTCTCACCAATATGTGCCATCCTCAGGAGTCCCACAGGAGAGCAAACTAGGACCATTGCCCTTTATTTTATTTATTAACGACTTGCCAGATTGTATTAAATCTTGTAACAGCTTAATGTATGCCGATGATTTTAAACTTTTTAAAACAATCTCTAATAAGAAACATGCAGTCAAATTGCAAGATGATCTAAGATCAGTTATTCAATGGTTTAACGATTCAAAAATTACTCTTTATATTAAAACTGTGCAGTAGTTTCATATACGCAAAAACTCAATAGTGTTATTGAAGATTATTATATTAATGATGATCTAGTTGAGACTGTTATGAAGGATCAAGGAATTAAATTCCAAATCAACATGAAATTCAATATACACTTTTATGAAATAACTAACAGAGCTTTTCGTGCTTTGGGTTTAGTCATTAGAAGTAGCAAAAATTTCAGAATCAGCACAATTATAAAACTCTATATTGCCCTGATGAGATCACAATGGAATATGCTTCAATCATCTGGTCTCCTACTGCATTTTTAAACTCAGAAATGGTTGAAAAAGTGCAAAAACGATTTTTAAGATTTCTATACGTAAAAAAAATAAGAAATATCCATATGTGGTCTCATACAGGATAATGTTAGACTCATTTCAGTTGCAGCCACTTGCTACTAGAAGAAACAGTCAGGCTATTATGTTCATATACTTTATTGTTAACAGTATTAAGTACACAAACTGTGGTTTAATTGAGTTTATTTACTTTAGAGTACCCAAGAGTAGGTTAAGGATAACTAACCTAGATCTATTCCTTACAAATTACTACAGAAACATATCACCAATAAACAATATGTTAAAAATTTGTAATGAAGTATTTAAGACTGACTCATGTGGATATATTTCATGTAAAAGCTGTGAACTTAAGACATTGCTTGCTCATCAGCACTAAGTTTAAGGGGTTTATTATATTTTTTTTATTGAGTTATTAATGTTGGTTTCTTTCATTTATTGTATTGTTTTTGTCTTAAACACTTTGCCTGTAATTACTATTAGTCTATAGTGTTTGTAAGGTGTCTAAATAAAGAAATTTTGGAGTGCCTAGTACTTGCATCAACGACAACGTGCCCAATTTGTGGCACCATGGAACCCCCGTTGGGCGCCATTTCACTGGGGCAAGTACTAACTGGACCGTATTTTGCGCAACCGCTGAAATTTGTCGGATTTGCAATATAGAGGGAGCTACGTATTGGAAGGTTTTTGGCTGTAAGGACCATATTCTGCCGTCCAACCGTGTAGTGAGGTTTAGATTTCAAAACAAGGGACATATGATTAACCCATCTTTCAATTTCTTAATAAATAATTTACGTATATAATCAGAATTTTTATCTTTTACATACGATATGACGTGATTGATAAACGAATAACCATTTAAATTAATAGAAGTGCAAAAGCTTACCCAATTTGGACAGCCACTGAGTTTTGGTGTCTCTCATTACTTCCTTAAATTCTTCAAGTTTAGTTTTATCAGAACCATTTCCATTGCTTGAGCTTGATTTTTTGGAAGTGTTTTCAGTCAAAATGTACTTAAAGGGATAAGTATCAGCTTTCTTTCCCAACTCATCTTTAGCGTACGTAATTGTTCCAGTCAAATAGTGAGCAGCATTATTTGATTTTGAGGAATATCTGAAAATATACGCATTATATTTAATTTTCTATATCTCCCTCGTATTTAACTACAGTCGTACTTTCATACGAGGACAGTACCGGGTGGTCAAATAAGCCGATCTCTCGGCTATATATCAGAAACTATTCATGTTATAACGTTAGGAGAAAAAATTCCTCAGTAAAAGCGGCCAAGAGAAATCGCTGGAAATAACTTTCAAGTTTCTGGGTTCACTTCTAGGGGGGCGTAACGTGTGAAGAAAAATTTGAAAACCAGTTTTTTTGTGAAATATGCCCAATTATACCAAGTGTTAAATAAGTAAACTAGAAAGAGACCTAAATTCCGCACAAAGTTGTTCAAGTACTTTTTTTTTTATTTTTTCAAATAAAGGGTGGGGGAGAGTGGGAAAGTATTTGTGGATAGATACGTATAACTTTGATTTGGATCAACCGATTTTAACGAAATTAGTGTCATTAAAAAGAGTGTGGATGATTTAATTTACATCTACTATAAAACAATTGCATTTAGTTTTAATTGTCATGGGTAGAGGGTACTCTCGAATAGAAAAAATTAAAATTTGTTTTTCTTCAAAATGTTTAATGGAAACACCTATTTATTGTAAATTATAATGGAACTGAATTGTATTCGTAACAAAATGGCGCAAACCGCAGCTAGATAGCTTTTGTCGAACTCGAGATATGAATAAAAACGCATAAACATAAGTAAGTATAGTATTGACTCACCCTTTATTATAACTTAATATTAAATATGTGAAAGATCATACAAATATCTCGATCATTAAAACTTAATGTCCAATTAAATGTTCAAATTGTTTTCCATCGTTGTTCACACAAAGATGTTATCATTCGCGCGTAAACATAACAGCCGCTTCAATCTCATGTGTTGATATACTCTTTATTGCGTTTATAACGCGATGTTTCATATTGTCTCGCATGGTTGGTCGAGTTTGGTACACTAAGTCCTTCAATCTTCCCCACAGAAAAAAGTCCAGACATGTTAAGTCTGGAGATCTAGCTGGCCATGAAAATATACTTCCCCTTCCAATCCATTTATTTGGATAACTTGCATACAAATAATCTCGAACTCGTCTGGAAAAGTGCGCAGGACACCCGTGATGTTGTAATATCATATCTCTTCTTGTTTGTAAGGAAATATCTTCCAATAAAACAGGCAACTGATTTCCCAGAAAATCCAAATATGTTTCGCCATTTAAAGTTCTATCAAAGAAATATGGACCTACAATCTTTCCATCAACTATACCACACCAAACATTAAGACTCCATCTACCTTGAACCTGCACCTAATGTATCCAGTGCGGATTTTCTTCAGCCCAATAATGCATATTATGCCCGCACTATTAAACGTAGCCTCGTCTGTCCACAAAATCTTTGACATGATATGCGGTTATTCTTCTAGCACCTAACATCCGATTGCAGTAATCTAGCCTTGCATCAAAATCTCTCTCATGTAAAGCTTGGTGGAAAACTACATGATAAGGATGCAGTCTAAAAAACAGAACAACAAATATTGATGAAAAAAAAAACCACTATATTTACTAAAACTCAAAAAATCTTGAAAAATCCACAATTGTTTCACAAGATAAATCGTGCATAAGTATTTTTAAGAAACGGATAAAAGGATAAAAGCGCCGTGTTGACGTTTTTATCGGAATATTAAAATAACAGTTGAATCTAAAGTTTAAAGGGAATTCCAAGTTTCTGACGTAAACGTTCACTTTATAATATGAAAAAACAAACTTTTATATTTTAAAATCCTTAGAACAGTAGTTTTGGGTATGTTTAATTCTATAGAGATTTGCCGACTACTTATATGTTTATTCTGTTAAATTAAAGCAAGAACATTGATTGAATTATCTTCGGTCAGACCTCTACTACGTCGTTTAAAACAAGGACGATGAAAACTGCCAGTTTCTCTTACTCTTCTTGCCTTTCTTTCAAATCCTTCTTTGCCATAATGTATCTTGTCCAATTCTGCATTTGATTTACTCATCAAGAATTATTAGTACTGATAATTAATTATTAATATTACCAATATCAATATCTATTGAAAAAAGTGCAATCTTCAATTCGAATTATAATATAACACTTCTTAACAATGTTTTGACTGCTGCCAATAAATAAACAATATGAACTCCCCGTCAAATTCATTGTCGTAGCCCACTTAGTTTCGATAAAATTATTTTTAATCATATGAAATAACAATGGTCAAAATAGGTATCAACATTAACATTCTTCTGCTATAAAAAAATTTGAAAGTACTTACTGACTTATTTTTTAATTTAATTTATAATACAGGGTGAGTCAATACTATACTTATTTATGTTTATTCGTTTTTATTCATATCTCGAGTTCGACAAAAGCTATTAACATGCGGTTTGCCCCATTTTGTTACGAATTTAATCCAGTTCCATTATAATTTACAATAGATATGTGTTTCCATTAAATATTTTGAAGAAAAACAAATTTTAATTTTTTCTATTCGAAAGTACCCTCTACAAATGACAATTAAAACTAAATGCAATTGTTTTATAGTAGATGTAAATTAAATCATCCACACTCTTTCTAATGACACAAATTTCGTTAAAATCAGTTGATTCAAATCAAAGTTATAGTTATTTATTCACAAATACTTTCCCACTCTCCCCCACCCTTTATTTGAAAAAATAAAAAAAGTACTTAAACAACTTTGTGCGGAATTTAGGCCTCTTTCTAGTTTACTTATTTAACACTTGGTATAATTGGGCATATTTCCCAAAAAACTGGTTTTTTAAACTTTTCTTCACAGGTTACGCCCCCTATCGGTTAACCCAGAAACTTGAAAGTTATTTCCAGCGATTTCTCTTTCAGCCACTTTTACTAAGGAATTTTTTCTTCTAAAGTTATAACATGAATAGTTTCTGATATATAGCCGAAAGATCGGCTTATTGGACCACCCGGTACAAAAAATACATATATCTGGTTAAAGTTTTATACTTACTTATCAGGTGATAAAGGAGCTATATACAAAGGTATAGGTATATAGGGATTAGAGTTATTTGTAACACCGGCCTTCTTTCCGCAAAGCAAAGCTTGTGTATATGATAAATAAACGTCCATTACAATTTGGCTGCTTAATTTTTGCACAAGAAGCACGGGAGCGTCATTTAATTTCTCTAAATAATCTCTTTTATCATGTCTAACTTGCAGTCTTATAGTATAGTCACCTTTTTCTAGCTTAACAGAGTACTAAAAAAAATATCGAATTAGTTGCTATTCAACCATAACAAATTTCAAAATGAAAATACTTAAAATAAGACACATGCAGTCAAATTAGGTTTGGCTTTGAATAACTTTATAAATTTTATTACATAACTGACAAAAAACTCATAAAAAAACAAAAATCTCGTAAAGAAAATCAAAACTCTTACTGCTTTTCTTTAATTTATGTTTTTTAGGTTTTAATATTTTTTTGCGCCACTGTCAAAGTAATTAAATTCTTATTTAGCTTTTGACAGTGACAGAGTCTTGTCATTAATTTTTATTACTGGCAAAATGGTCATAACTTGTTAAATAATCTGTATAGTAATGTAAAACCCAACATTATAAGAAGAAGAATTATGAGAGAAATATAAATATAAAAAATATATAGGGTGTACCATTTAAAAAATTGTATCTTTGCTACTAATTATCGGGAGTCACTAAACATCCAAAAGAAGGAAGGCATATTCCAAGGCCTGCTCTAATTATGCTTTTTTTTCGATGGCTCTGTATAATAGGAAGCATTTTTATAGTGAAACAGATTCTATCTTAAAATATATACTTACTTTGTCAGGATAGGCATCACCACAGCCAAGTAGTTGCTTATTTGAGTCATACAGCATCCAAAACTGCGATTCAAATTCGGATTCATACAGCATTTGACTTAATAAGGATAAATTTGGAGATACTTCACACTGTTTTGTTAAATTAAAGTTATAGACCAAAACAAGCTCATAAATTTGTCTAGATGGAGGAATTACATCCCTTAGAGTCAATGGCAATATTTTTCCTTCCGTAGGTCTAAAATTAGTAAAAATACAAATTGTTGGATATATTGTTACTGAAACAAGTTGTGAGACATGAGGTTGCCAAGTTATTGAGGAACATTTCACAATAAATTATAAAAAAAATGTGCTATACACCATTTCCTTTAAACACTGCACATCATCAATAACATTGCTACTGTTCAATTTTCTCACATGCGAAAAATCATGTTATTTTTTCGCTGTATTATTAACTATCCTTTTATCACAATTTTACAATCAACACCTTAGTCCAACCCTTAATAACCCTTCCTACTTACATTTTACCCCCTCTCCATTAGAAATACAGACAGTTTCAAGATAGCAAAGAAGAAAGAACTCTCTTGATTATCAGCTGTCGATAAGGACAGAACTCTCTTAGTTTGGCCATCGCTAGAGCCAGACTCTCTCTCTCTCTCTCTCTCTCTTCGCTTATCAAGAAGAACAGCATCTATCTTGGCTGTTTTTCTATCTAAGAAGAAGACTAAGAAAAGAGTAATTTTGTGAAGGCCCTTATGAAGCGCCAGGTACCAGGATGCGTACTAATGCGTTGTGTTCCCGCTCATACCTCGGGGTGTTGACTACAGACTGCATGGCTCGTCCAGCATGCCATAGCTTGGAGGATAGGGTTCGCGTCATTTTTACAATGGAGACATCCCAACTCCATGGCCTGACCAGGGTTGTATTGTGATAAATTTTAACAGTTTAACATGTCTGTACTTCGATGATTCGAATTAAATGATGTACAATTAACTTTTTAAAGGAAATAATGTATATATAATCTGCTTTACTTACTTAACAATCTGGACGGCAGCTTTTAAATTGATAGAAGGTGCAATATCTTCCCCTTGAAGAGTTTTCACTTCCACAGCATAAACTCCATCAGCTGAATGCATTGTCACCGCAGGCTGATTGGGTTTGACCCCCCAGAAAGAGATTGAATAGTCTAAATGAGCTTCCCCTACGTTGGCCCAGTATTTGGCTATAACTAATTCGAGAATGAGATCCTCTCGTACAGGAAAATTTAATATTGTTTCACATTTAGAAGTAACTGCTATTGTTTTGTTGATTTCTAATGCTTTGCAGTATTGTTTAGGGACAAGCTGTGAAGCATGAATAACAAATCTTCCTGTATCTTCATCTGATAGTAGTTTCAATACTGCCCAGGTTGCTGTCTTTGGTACCGTAATGTAGTGCCGTTTGATCGTATTTGGTTCAAAACGAACATTATTAACACTGAATTGATATTTAGGTGCCTTAACTTCAATTGGTTGTATTATGGTTATTGGTATTTTAAAAAGAGGGCCTTTCTCTATACATTTCACATCATATCCGTTTAATTCAGTACAATGCAAGCCCTCACGTAAACCAGAAGTATCAACTTTTATGGCAAACATTCTTGCGACGTTTGATAAATCCAGATGGGTAGGATAGCTGACATATTCAGCGGCACAAGTTAAGACAAATTTTTGGTTATAATAAATCTTATCATGTGCTGGAACCTCCTCAGAGTTTAGGAACTGTGGCTCAACACTAATTTTAAACGACTGAGAATGAGTATGTACCTTTGACCGAATATATATTCCTTTCGAATTATTTGAGCCACATTGTACTTGGAATCTAATATTTCTGTCACTTTCCCCATGAAAGTTCATAAGGTAATCATACGCTTTTTCTGTCTGTATTAGCCCACTCCCTTGAGCAGGTATTTCAACCCCTTCTAAATGTTTAGCTGTATTTTCCAATGCTCTACGAACAATGTAAGGAGAAAATGGTATTTTTTGTTGTGTTAATCCTGATAACAGAACACAAACTACTCCAGCGGCATGCGGTGAAGCCATAGAAGTACCATTCATTAGCTGGGAGTATCGTAAAGTACAGTTGGGTACAGACGTAATTGCACCACCAGGTGCACATACATGAACTCCTATACCTCCATCAATGGTTGGACCTCTGGAAGACCAAGTATAAGGAGTACCTGAAAATTTATGTAACTATTTATATTTTATAATAAATATAAACATAAACGGTCAATTAGAAATATCTCTAGAACTAAAGGTGGAATCATGAAAATTGGAATCAAGGGGTTTTGAAGATTTTCGCTACTTCCTGTTATACCGGAAGTTGCTTATAACTTCATTTTGTTTACTGGGACACTCTGTATATTTTTTAATTTTAGAACTATTCATGTTATTCTGAACATTTATTGGTAGGGAAGGTATAGGGAAAGTAGGGTATAGGGAAATACTAACAAAACATTTTCAGAATAACGTGAATAGTTATAAAATTAAAAAATATACAGGGTTTCCCATTAAAAAAAGAAAAGAAGTTATAAGGAACATCCGGTATAATAGGAAGTAGCAAAACTCTTCAAAACCCTTCATTCCAATTTTCATGATCCAGTTACCTTTAGTTTAGTATTCATTAAACCTCGTATCATAAAGGTTGTGTGTTTCCGTGTCTGCTAATTATCATTTGATAATTAAGTCGAAAATAGATAAGTGACAAAAACCGGTAAGATAAATCCAAATTACTTTTAAATTGTTTATAGTCCGGATGCTTGGTTAGAAATAATTAAGGGCACCTAGTGACTGCTATGATTGTTGGTTCTCGCTAAAATGATCCAACAAAATGCGGGTCCGCAAACATCTAACGAGGTACTGTTAATACAACAAAATAGTACCCTCTTTCGGGAAAATTATGCAAAGTCCCAGAATGAACAGAATGCTGTACACGGCATGGAAACAGACGGAAATGGAGAAGATTTACCCTACGGATAGAGTAAATCAGCTCCAACTCCAGTTAAATAAACACTCGGTCCAGATTATTACAAAAATGTGTTTTAGTCTGATCGGCTAACCCAAATTTGCCGGGAAAGAGAAAAAATCGAATTGAAAATTCTCCACTTTTTTCAGCAAATATAGACCTCCAAATGAAAATTTTTCTCACGAACCGTTAGATGTAGGAAAATTCTGAGCATAGCAGAAGAACGAGCGGTCAATTTTATGTAAGAAATGTCCACTCGCTTGACCCTCGGACCAAAATTGACGCCAATATAGCCGAATAACGAAATTTGAAAAAAATCCAAGGGTACCCAATTGGATGGTTTTTTCCAAATTTTTATGAAAAAAATTTTTTTTATGTTTTGGTACAAGCACTCGGTCCAGATTATTACAAAAATGTGTCTTAGTCTGCTCCGCTAACCCAAACTTGCCGGGAAAGAGAAAAAATCGAATTGAAAATTCTCTACTTTTTCAGCAAATATAGACCTCCACATGAAAATTTTTCTCACGAACCGTTAGATGTAGGAAAATTCTGAGCATAGCAGAAGAACGAAGGGTCAATTTTATGTAAGAAATGTCCACTCGCTTGACCCTCGGACCAAAATTGACGCAAATATAGCCGAATAACGAAATTTGAAAAAAAATCCAAGGGTACCCCTTGGATGATTTTCTCCAAATTTTTTTGAAAAAAATTTTTTTTTTTATGTTTTGGTACAAGCACTCGGTCCAGATTATTACAAAAATGTGTCTTAGTCTGATTGGCTAACCCAAATTTGCCGGGAAAGAGAAAAAATCGAATTAAAAATTCTCCACTTTTTCAGCAAATATAGACCTTAAGGAATATTGGTGAATGTAAGCTTAGATAAGTTTTTTGTAATATTTTGTATATAGAACTAACTTGCTTATTGATCATAGTGATCAGATAGCAATAATCATAAGATTCCTGTTGGAGTTTTATTAAAAAAAAGTTACCTTTTAGTTCTCGAGATATTTCTAAACCCTGTATAAATATTAAATAAAATGCACTGTTTAAATATGTACTGACTAAATAGAATAAAAATAAAATATATTTCACAAACCTGGCAATTTCTGCCTCATAGCGTATTCTGCTAACATCATATCAGGTGATACATAAGCACCTACACTAATAATTGGCTCATTGACCACATCTGAAGGCGTACTAATTGTATTTAAAGCTGGTCCATGGTTGCCAGCTGATGAAACCCATGTAATTCCATATTTGTTTACTATTTCATTGATTAAATCACCTATTCGTCTAAAATATTGTATTCATGTAAAGCATTACTCTTATTAATGATTAAAGCCTTACCCTGCATCCACCCAATGTGCATGTTCTCCGTAGCTCATATTAATGACCTGTATATTTATATTCTTTGTTTGCTTTAACTCAATAACTTTGATCATGGATCTAATAAGAGCTGTACCTGTTTCCATTGAACCTAATCTGCCATCTCCTATTGTTAAAGATACAACTTGTGCACCTGGGGCAATGCCATTTTCTTCAGGAGAATCTGGGAAATATGCTGTTGCTATTGAAGCTACATGAGTTCCATGGCTTGCTACAAGCACAATATAAATTAGTATACAAGTAACTAATATTTGTTGTACAGAATATAGTAATTAGATCAAAAGTCATTCTATACATTTATTTATTTATAAAGGGCCAACCGCTCAATTAAAATACAATGTAAACATTATTAATAAATTAGAGATGATTCTTAACATAACCTACTTAAATTAAATTTAAAAATTTTAATCATACAAAAAATAAAAGTTGGAACACTAAATAACAAACATTAACAAAGAATGTACGAAAGACTAGGACATCAAGCTATCACACACAATTCTTAAGGTGAGCTTTAAATTCTTGTGAAATACTATAACAATCCAACCTTTGGGAATAATGATTAACAAACCTTGGTGTTCTAGATGTGAATGAATGGACCACAGGAGTGATGACGTAGATTTTACTGACATACGTCAGTTTCACTTTCCAAACAAACCTGGCTTAGTGTGGATAATTTGTATTTTTCGTTATTTTTTCATTTATTTTATAGAATCTTTCCGCTTATTGCAATATTTAAGTATTCTGATAGTTACTACAACAATTTTACAAGGTTGTGTAAATAAATAAGGACACTGTTTTATGCTAATAGCAATAAAATGCATGTATCAATAAAGTAAGGTTACAATTTCTTTATTTAAACTTTTAAACTATATTTCATAGAAATAGAACTCTGAATTATGATGGTATTATCGTAAAAAACACTATGCTTACAAGAAAAAGCAGCAGAGGAAGCAAAATGTTAACTTTATAGAAATTAAAAAGTCTTGAGATTTGACATTTCAACTTTTGTTTGGAAAGTAATAATGTCAATGTGACAGTCGTGACGTCACACTCCTACGGTCATTGAGTAGTATGTGGGATGCATCTCCGTAGTTTGTGCGATGGGGTCTAACATAAACATAAAAGGGTTGATTTAGCCTTGTTTGTCTACTGGGAACATGGAGATTAATTTTTTCAGATAGTTGAGGACCAAAAATTGTTGAGCGCAGTATACTATAAAACATAGTGAGATCCTTATGCATGCGTCGGATTTGGAGACAAGTTCTGTTGAGGGACCTTTCCATATTTGAATAGTTAATTTCTTCAATCCTCTTACTTACTCCTTACTCCGTGCCGTTACAACCTTTCGTGGGTTTTAGTTGACTCTACAACATGCCTCCACTGTTTTCTGTCTTGAGCAACCTCCATCCAATTCTCCACGCTCATAGTGCTTAGGTCTCCTGCTATATTATCTCGCCACCAGAGACGAGGTCGTCCACGTGGTCTCTTTGTCCTGCCCATTGGAGTCTTCTGGACTTTATTTCTTTATGATGTTGGCGTCTGGGTAAAGTTCTTCGTGCTCTTTTTTAGTTCTTATCCTATATTGTCCGGATGCTTCATCCAGCACAGGACCAAATATCTTCCTTTTTTCTTTCCTAAACACATAGTCTCTCTTCGTTTGCCTTTGTTATTGTCCACGTTTCGCTTCCATACATCACAACGGGTCGTATCATTGTTTTATCATAAGGTTTTGGAGGGCAAAAAGGCATCTGTTGCCGGCCTGAATACTGTTCTTTATTTCTTGTGATCCGTTATTGTCTTCAGTTATTGTTGTTCCAAGATACTTGAATTCTCTAACACGCTCAAAGTTAAAGTTATCGATGGTGATGTTCTGACCGATTCTGTCATGATTTGTGCCAGAGGATCACATATTATATTTCGTCTTGTTTTCGTTGATTTGTGCCAGAAAACCAGAGGATCTTTAATCCTCTGGTTTTGTTTAAATGCAACAAATCTTAAGAATTTGTGTTGAACTCTCTCAATAGCTTGAATATGGCTGTTATAGTGAGGAGACCAAACACATGAACAGTAATTTAGGTGGGGTCTCATAAGTGGACAATACAAATTTTTTATGGATGGGATATTTAGAAAGTCTTTAGCACAACGTTTGATAAACCCTAAAAGCTGAAGCGATTTTGAGACAACAGATGAGATATGGGGGATGTAGGATAAGCTGGAATCAAGCACAACACCTAGGTCTTTTATCTGAGATACAGAGTCTAAAGGGCAACCATTGATAGTATAGATATGATTTGTAGGATTGTAAGATCCTTCTTAATGTTTTCAAATGAGGTAGTAAAACTGGTTTTCAACCTCTTGACTTCTTCGTTTACCTCACGAATCTGTTTTTCAAACTCATCCATTTTTTGAGTTTGCGATTATGATTTCACTTAGTGTATCTTCTAATGCTTTTACACGGTTGTTTAGTGTAACTGCCTTTTTGATACCTGGCACGCAGTCACAACACAAATATGGCATAATTCGGGTGGCCTGAAGTAGATACCTTATCTCTGTTGAGGTAATTCCAGTGCAGTTTTTGCATAAAACATTTTTGCAAATGTCACAAGGATAACCAAAAACATCATCTGTACCTTTATTAGGTTCTTTAAAAACACAGTTCTTGGAACATTTACCATATGTTCCTGCCATTTATTAAGGTTATTTCAACACCTTCTAAGAATCCAATAATCACTTATTTTTTATATTATTATAATTTTATTAATATTATAATATAAATAAATTGTTTTTGGTTGTATTGGTTTTTTCACAGATAAACAATTAGCACTAATGAGCTGGATTTTAATAGATGTTGATACTTCGAAGGTTCAAATACTATGGAGTACTATAACAGAAATTTGTCATGTTTCTTACAAATAAACCATGCAATTACATATATTTAGTAAAATTAATTAAAAACACTTACTTACTCGCTAAAAATAATTTTTATTAACAAATACTTACAACAAACACCTACTAGCTCCAATACATCCCCATTTTCATGGACATTTACACTAAAATTTAAGTTATCTGTCTCAGTTAAAGGTGCAAATTCATGAGTGACACTGTATTCACCAAGTAACGGACATTTTGATAAATCACCATCGTCTGATGTATCTACACAACACATCCAATGTTGGCCATTATGGAAAAGAATGCAGTCGTAAACAGGTCCTACATCATTGTATTTTTTATCAAAATTAACTAGAATATCTTGCATAGTTTCTATATTTTCTTTTTCCAGTTTTTCAACATCAATAAGTGTTTTATCTAAAATTTAATACAAGTAAATCAAGTGTTCCTTCAATAATCCAGTTGTATATTTGAATTTTGGACAATTGCAATTTTTGTGCAAACATGGGAACTCATTTTATGAGTTCTAACATTAATTGTTAGTATGATTTCACAGTTATATTAGTTTATTGCTTGATAATGAGGTGACATTTAATAAAAGAAGACTTTTACTTTCTAAATTGGAAAAAAGAGCATTTTTAAATATTAACCAAAAAAAAAACTATTATATTTATGATCATATTTTTTTCTATTCATTGTTAAGGACTTAGGTATACAAAAAAAATTGTATGACACTTAGTTTGTTATGCAGAAGGTGTCTTCCAAGAGATGCATTTTAATTTGTGGGACACTTTTCTGCCCCCTGTAACAATTTTATTTTTAATTTCAACGGAATTCAATTCTTGAGAGACTTAAAACTAATAAATAAACTTATAAGTTTTTTTTTTTATTTTTAAGGTCTTTATATGAAATTTTATTGTAAGTTTGAAAAAACGCCTGTTCTGGGGGAGAACTTATCCCTGTACTAAAAAGGTGGGGAGGTTTATTTAGTAGTTGTATATATAAAGTATCAAAAAAAGTTTGAGATTGGTAGACTAGATTTTGAGAAAAAAATGTTTAAAGTATCATCACTGTAATTTTATGAAATTTTTTTTTACCTCTAATCAGCAATTCCTGGTGTATATTGGGTGCCCTCACTGTATAGTGAAAGCTGTAAATGGTTGGTCTAAGCTTTTTTTTTATAACTTTGTCCTCTTTTAATGTCGCTGCTCCTTTTATTGGATTGAGCAATACAAGCTTTGTCGATAATTTAAAACCAACTTGTTGATATTTCTCAAATTTTTATCTTTATCCAATTTTGCCAAGATCTGAGGAATTCAGAATTGTTTTCTGCAGTAAGATTATTCTCTTTGAATCTTCTTTTTATACTATGCTTATTTCAATGTGTCCCCTTACTTAGGCTGCGTTTTAAATGACTATCAGATCCAAGCCTTTTTTCGATTTTCAAAACATAATAATTTTCGATAAATTTTAATAGTATAAAACAAGTTTCAGAAAGCAATTGCTGTGTTGCAGCTGTACAGGTAGTATAGAGGAACAGGTTGTATAAAACCAAGTTTTAGCACATATGTGTACTGATATAAATACAGCTATAACTTCGATTTTATTTCGAACTTCTTAATAAAATTTTAGGACAGTATTTCAATGAAAATAAGGAACATTTTTACGTAAAAAAACAAAATTTTTTTTTTTAATTTATAAAGTAAAAGTCCCCTAAAATGAAACGGTCTTTGTTTAATTTGATCTCAAAATTGCATTTTTTTTAAAAGTTGCGCCCTATACACTCTGGGCCAAAATTAACAGACCACCTTAAAAATGGGTAAATTTTTTATGTCTTATATCTCCTAAACCTGTTGTCTGATTTAATCAATTTTTTTTAATATGTTATAGCCTTATTCCTTGACAATATTGTTATAATAATATGGTTGTAGCTAGTAGGTCTCTTCTTGAGGTAAGAAACGTTAGTGTGAGTAGACAAACGATTAGAAGAAGACTGTTAGAAATAAACTTGAGGGCTTTTCATCCAGGTCACGCACCACAACTGCCCCCACAACACCCTAAAGCTAGACTTAATTTTGCGCGAGAATATGCTAACTGGACTATGGCGGAATGGAAGAATATACTGTTCTCAGATGAGAGCGGAATAGCCCTAAAAGGTCCAAATGGACGCCAACGTGTCTATAGGCGTCAAAATGAAAGGTTTGCTGGATGCGCTATAACCGAAACAGTGGCTTACTGAGGAGGGTCAATAATGATTTGGGAATGTATTTCTTACAAGGCACATAGTGATCTTGTTGTGTTTGGTAGAGGCAGTATGACTGCCCAAGTATATGTGCAAGAAGTTCCGTAAGACCATGTCATGCCTTTTGCACCATTCATTGGTGATAACTTCAGACTAATGCACTTTGCCATACAGCAAGATCTACCTGTGAGTACCTTAATGAGGTTGGATTCAAGTTCTACCATGGCCAGCACACAGTCCTGACTTTAACCCAATTGAGCATATCTGGGACAACCTCAAAAGATGGGTAAGAGCAAGAGTACCAGCCCCTGCATACTTTGAAGAGTTGAAGACAGCTGCGGCAGAGGAGTGGCACAATATTCCCCAATCTGATATCCAGGATATCATGAATGGATTGCCAAACCGGCTCCAAGAAGTCCTAAGGGCTACAGATGGCAACACCCATTATTGATACCCAATTATTTTTCAATTAGACTTTGATTTCCAAAATATTGTTAATTTGAATTTTCTTCGAAAATTTTATTCATTGGATTTTTACTGTAACAAATGACTGTTTTTCAAAAAGATTATTTTTTCTCTTCCGCAGAGATAAAAATTGATAAAAAACATGTCTAGTTGTTAAAGCACCTAACTTTTGTATTATCCAACATAAGCGAATGAGTCAAAAAACAAAATGTTGAGAAAACATGAGGCTATAGTTAGGTTTTATTTCAATATTTCATAAATGCTAGAATATTCCACGGGGTGATGCAAACTTTTAAGAAAAAAACAGTTTGATTTGTACACCCGGTATACAATAAAAATTTACCTGTTTAGCAACAATATTATTATAAAGCTATTTTCAAGGAATAAGGTTATTAAAAAACTCACTTAAATCGGACAACAGGCTTAGGTGATATAAGAAATCAAAAATTACCCATTTTTAAGGTGGCCGGTTGATTTTGGCCCAGAGTGTACATCTGAGATTATCATTAAATTTAATTCAGTAAATTGAGGAGAGATATTTCAAAATTATACAAAAAAATATAATTCCTACTTTGATGTTTTGCTTCAAATGAAGACAAGTTTCTAGAAACTTCACTTAATATTTCTCTATGGTGTAATTCCCAACTCTTTTTCTTATATTCAGCTTTTACACGATCTTTTAGTCTGTCAGGATAAAGATCAAATGCATGTTTCACTCCTATTCTGTACGTGTTTTCAGGATTGGACCATGTTCCCGGAATCTAAAATATTAAATAAAAACAGCTGTTTATAATTTGTAATAAAAAAAGTTTATTTTTCATTTTATCAATATTTTTTTCTAGTAAATGTATCAAAACATTCTACCAACACTTATTTTTATCTCATTTTCTGGCCAATTGGTCCAAACCAAGGTCATAAATCTAAACACACATTATCTCAATTGTTTTCACACCTATTACTCTAGTTAATGCCTAGGAAGTTTTTGCATTTATATGAATATTCTGTTTTAATAATTTAAAGCAAAGCAATTATATTATATTTTTCTGTATTTGTCATGACATTTATAACTAGGAAAATCTAGGCCAGCATACAACCTTGTTTAACCATAAATAAATAGTTTTAAAGAATGTCTATAAAAATTATAAAATTAAAAGCTCATTCCCGAAGATTCATTTGGGTAATATAAAAAGTATAGCATGTGTGCTTTAGAAAGTTTTAACTGTAAACACACCTGTAATTTTTTTCCTGTAAGTCCCGTAATGAAACCATCCATAGGGTAACTTTTGTAGTAGTATTTACATCTCCACAGCCACTACAATCAAACCTTTCAACAATCTTAACTTTTCCATCAGATGTTACCTACAAAATAAAATAAAAATCAACAAAACGAAAGTTATATTAATTAAGTTACAATCAAGTAGATTTTACCTGTAAACCAGGTGCTCCAGGATCAATCCCTGAATCCAAAATTGCAATTACAATTCCTCTGCCATCATAATTTGGATATTTTGAAAGAAAAGATGTCAGCCCAGTTTCTTTTTTTGGTAAGAGACTCACAGTGGGAAAATCGCTGCCAGCCATTTCCATCATATTATTTTTATTGACGTAATTCAATTTTTGTTCAGAAAAATTAATTTCTTGTGTACAAAATTACAAGCAGCAAGTTAAATTGTTTCCTACAGAACAAAGGGGTTAAAATAATAATATATTCTCACTCTCACCTACAATATCATTTCTTTTTATTATAGTCGAAAGTTTAATTTAAAATTATTATAAATTTGCCGTTTATTATAACCTATATAATTACACTTAAATAAAATTTGTCTTTAAATTTTGCAGGTCATGTTACCACTTATGACAACCACAATAAAAATGGAACTGACTATTAACACATATTATACAGGCTACTGGCCCAGATTGTAGTGACTACTGACACATACGACTGTATTGAATAAACAAATATTAATTTTAAATATTATAATATAATAGCAAATAATTAAGTAGTCAATAAATTGTAGATACTTATCAAAATGCATTAAATGGTGTTTAGTATTATTACATTTGTATATTATCAGAAACTTAAGCTGCGTGTATGTTATGTTGCATAAATTAGAAAAATAAGTAGGAAGAACTAGGGTTTTAAATCAAATTCAGTAAATTATCGCCCTATTGTACCTTTAATTGACAAACAACTGGATAAAACCGTTAAAAAGTCGTAATCCAATATAAAATTTTTACTTTTCTATACAAACCTCTGGATCTGCACGATCACTCAACTAAACTGAATGACATTATTTTTTATTATTAAAATTATCTATATTTGCATTGAGATACAGTATCTGAATGCTTAATAGAAATATTCCCCATATAAACAAAGTTTAGTATGAAATATAATTATCTTGGAATTTGCATAATATTCGATGCAACCAATTTTAGTAATCTACGTACATACATTGTAGCATTTTATTTTATTTTTCTTTAAATACCTTGACAGTCGCGTTGTTTCACTTTTATTGTATGTTTTCTTTCAAATATTTATTTGTTGAAAAGTATTTATAGCTATTATTTTATTTGTTTTCCCTATTCCTTTAACATTTATTTATAATTTAGATTCTTCTTCTTTCCTTCTATTCCTTTCGTTAGTATTCTACTGTGCTGCGTCATCTTTTGAATTATCATTGATATTTCACTAGATAATTATTTATATTTTGTGATATCTTATCTTTTATACAGTGAATTCATAAAGTGTGGAAACGGTTTATTATCTCATGACTCAATTATTTTTAGAGTTAAAGCTCCAACAGATCGATTTTTCTTTTTTAACCTTTTTGGAAAAAAATTACTTTTATCCCCACCACCTTAGCAGATATGATGTCATCGATATTGTTTTAATAGAAAGGGTATATTTTTATCAAAAAATTAAAAGCCAAAATTAAAATTCAAACTTCAGTATAGAGTGTAAAGGAAACCAGTGCACGTGTTTCTTAAAATTTAATTCAAAATTTGTTTTACAAAGAAAATAATTAAAGAAATAATTTTATATTAAAGACAAACAAATATCATAATTACAATAAATGTTCGAATTGAGCTCCTTGGTTTAATTGACAGTATCCAAGACGTCCAATGATTTCTTGGGTTATATTACCTTAGTTATGTTACTTATGTTTATTCACATAATTTGTAAAAAAACCTGTGTATTATTTAAATTAGCAAGCATCTGATCCTCCGTTATATTTTCTTCCAAACGGGTAGTACTTAAGGTCGATGTATCAATTTTATTAACACGCCAATTAGGGCACATCAAAACAGCATGTGATTCACAACATAATATACAATTCAAACATCCTCTATACTTTTTAGAAGAATGTCCTACTTTCAGACATCGAAAACAGGCTTTCTTTTCTGACAATGTTAGACGTTTCTGCTCCATAGTAAATTTTTGTGTTTTAAAACAATTTGTACTGCCATGCTGCCCTTTACAAAATACACACCTGTCAACCTCATAATTTACTAACCCAGCAGCGGTCGCTAAGGGCTGATAAGTTCCTTGCTTAGGTAATTTTACATTTTTCTTGGCAACGAGGCTATTGCATTTATAAATTTTCAATTGGTAAACCAAAACCTTCCGTTGTAAAATCAATTGTTTGTTCGTTTTGAACTTCACTCTGTAAAAAACTCATTAGCCCACTCAATCTTGTTTCTAAAGTTGTAACTTCTGCAGTTTCTGAAATATAAGGCCTTAAAAACTGTGAAGATCTATGCCATAGTCGAATCACATCTTCTGGCAAACATGACTCAATAAGAGGATACAATGTCGCCGCATACTTGTGAGCAGTTATGCCTAAGGTCTCAAGTGAACGAAGTTGACTTTCAATCATATCATAAAGAGCAGAAATGTTATAAGAACTACTAGAAACTCGACTTCAAATTAACTTTAAGAGCTCATTAATGTAAACTTCAATCTGGAGATCCTCTCTTCCAAACCTAGGCTGCAAACTCTGAATAATTTTTGAGCAATTGTTGGTTACTACAGGAAAACTCTCCACTAATCGTCTGGCCTTACTAGACTCTGCAGTGGCTTGTCTCAAATAAGTTATCTTATCAGTTAAATCAATTGATGGATCGTCATGCACTACTTTGAACTGTGACCAAAAATAAAGTCAATCTTTCAAGTCTCCATTAAATTTCTTGAACTCGATTGGAGGTAATTTAAATTTGCGCTTACTTTTTATACTTGATGACTCTGAATTTAATGAACCTGGTCTGTCATCATATTTGTACTGAAGTTCAAAGTACCTTGCATTATATTTATCTTTTGCCTCCATTTCACTGATTAACTCTTCTTCGGAAGCTTCTTCCAATATACTTTCAAGTACCGCTTTTTATAGAAAAATGCTGAGAATATCATGGACAGCAAGGATCACGAATAAGAAAGTTCTAGGAAAAATGAAGAAGGAACCAGAGATTGTGTTTACGATCAAACGCATAAAATTGCAATATCTGGGACACGTTATGAGAAATGAGCACCGTTACTCCCTGCTACAGTCTATATTGCAAGGTAAAGTCAAAGGTAAGCGAGGACCCGGTAGAAGGAGAATATCTTGGCTGCGGAATTTAAGAACATGGTTTAAGAAAACCTCAACGGAGCTGTTTCGAGCCGCAGCGAGCAAGGTTATGATTGCCAATATGATTTCCAACATCCGAAACGGATAGGAACCAGAAGAAGAAGACCGCACTTTCAACTTCATAAAGTGCATTGTACTTTACTTGTAAAAGTTCCCACTGTACGCTAATTTTCTGCCAGGGTCGAGTGTCCATCGGTTCAGAGCACCATTCTGCGTTTTTTATCTCATTCCATTTTTCCCTTAAAAAAGTTAACTTTGGCAGAGCCTCATGACAAACACAAAATTATTCGCCGGAAAAAAGTTTGAACTAAAATTAGCGAAAATAACTAACTTTTAAGCACACCCGTATATAACTCCTATAACGGTCGCCAAATTGTACGTTAGGAATGTCCTACAGTCAATTTTCGCAAGAGACTCCTGGTTCGAAAAAATATAAAATTAAATTTCTATTACAAAAAAATTTCTTTTCTATTAAAATACACAAATGTGACTTTAAAGTTTTATTTAATTCAGTTTGCTTCGATAGTACAATTCGACTGACTATATCTACATAAACCAAATATTTATATTACGATATTAAATATTACGATACATTCCCAGACGAAACATCACTGGTGAAATTTGTTGCATTTTAGTACGAATTCTCTGTTTGTCGACCAAAGTCTACCAAATTGGTAGCTCGGGTTACATATAACTCACTTTTTAGATAACCCCAAATAGAAAAGTCTATGGGATTCAAATCTGGTGACCTAGTAGGCCATTCAATGTGGCCGCGTCGTTTAATCCAGCGATTGGGAAAAGTTGCATTTAGAAAATTTCCAACTACTACAGCATAATGTGGAATTGTTTCATCCTGATGAAACCAAATGAACGGATCTATTTAACCAGGATTATTAATATCTGGAAATGTTGCGAGTAAAATTGAAACTACGTAGGTTTGCAACATCTCTAAATAGCTTTCACCCGTCACAGTACCGTCAAAAAATACGGTCCTAGAATAAATAGTATTCCTAACAATCCCAGCCCATACATTTACTTTTTGGGGATATTGGGTATAAACTTTCATTGTCCAATTGGGATTTTCTGTTGCCCCATAACGACAAATTTGCTTATCAACGATACCATTTAAACAAAAAGTGGCCTCGTCGGAAAACAAGATAAGATATATTCAAATCATGTATAAGTTTAATTTTATATGGATGTAATCCGGCCTTTTTTAGAATTTTATTGACAGCACCAAGACAATTCCTTGGTGATTCCACTCTAGGGCAGTCTTTGCAATACTGGAGTTATTTTTTCGGAGTGTGTGACCGATCCAACCCCACTTTCTGGACTTTATTTCATTTACTACCCTCTTTTGTTTGGTCAGGTGTAGTAAATCTTCATTTCTGATGATGTTAGGCCAGAAAATACGAACAATTCTTCGTAGACATTTATTAACAAAGACCTGCAGTTTGTCTGTTAGGGTTTTAGTCGCTTTCCAGGTTTCACATCCGTAAAGTAGTACAGACATGACATTTGACTGGAATATGCGGATCTTTGTCCTCGTAGTGTAGTCTCCAGACCTCCAAACAGGGTTGAGCATGCTGAAAGCTTGTTGCGCTTTTCGTATCCTCATACGAATATCGTCTTCTGTACCTCCGCTTTCGGTTATGACACTTCCAAGATACGTAAAGTTTTCCACATTTTCAATCTGCATGTTATTAATGGTGAATAGCGTGTTGTTTCTTGCATTTATTCTCATGGATTTGGTTTTACCAATATTTATTTTCAAACCTATGGTATTGGCTTCAGTGGAAAGTGTTTCCAATTGGTCAGCCACATCTTGGAACCTTTGTCCTAACAGGCAGATATCGTCGGCGTATTCTAGATCGCTTAGGCGTGTGGTTAACGTCCATTGTATCCCTCTTGTGTCAGAGTCTAGTTTGGAGAGAACATAGTCTAGAGCTATGTTAAAAAGAAACGGAGAAAGCACGCATCCCTGTCTGACTCCAGTATGTACGTCAAATTCGTCACTGTTGATCCCATTGTGTGTCACGCTGGATTTCGCTTCAGTGTACAGTAACTTTATAATGGAAATTATTTTATGCGGGATGTTTCTTAGCTCTAAAATTTTCCATATCGCATCATGAGATAAGCTGTCAAAAGCACGCTCGAAATTAACAAAAACCATGTATAGGGGTGTGTTCCATTCAACCGATTGTTCCATTATTAGCCTCACAGTATTAATGTAGTCTATGCAGGAGGATTCTGCTCTAAAGCCTACTTGATTAGCTCGAAATTCAACCTTGTTTGTTAATTTTTAAAGTATGATGGTCGTGAAGATTTTATTTATGGCGGTAAGCAAGGTTATTCCTCTCCAATTTTTGCATAGTGTGAGGTTGCCCTTTTTTGGAAGCTTAATAATGATGCCTTTTTCCAGCCCGCTGGAATGCGGTTTGTTTCCCACACCTCTCGGATTATGGGGAGCAAAAGTTCAGCAGTTAGATGCGGATCAGTTTTAAGTATTTCGGCAGCAATGTTATCGATTCCCAGAGACTTGTTATTTTTCAGAGATTTGATAGCTGTTATTATCTCTGTTTTGGAAGGGGCGTCGCAAGATATACGCAAGTCTACTTACAGCCTACTTAAGTTTTGGCAATATACCGAGTACTACAGTCGTTACCACTTTATGTATTGTTGATCTATAGCCCATTTCAAAGCCATTACGATTTGAATGGAATTGGTTATCTTTAATAGATAAACAATCTAACTTCTGTATCGTACAAAAATAGGCCACTTCATTCGAGAATTTTTGTAATGTTATTTATTTGTCTTTAATATGAAATGACTTTATTAAGATCAAAAGTTACATATTGTTTTATTAGATTATCATTTTTTTGTGTGTATCTAGTAGGTACTGATTTGTATTAATTTGTATCAAATCAAAAAATGCTTGTGGTAAATATTTATCAAAATATTAAAATGGCTATAATATTTCTCCAATAGCCTCAATTGTTGAATTTGAAACATACATTTGATGAAATGTTTTTTTCTCCCACGTAAAACTTTGCTCCCTTTTATGACATTTATTGTTTTTATTTTTATGTTTTTTTTGTGATTAGATTTGAAGTATTACTTGTTGATATTGATAATTGCAAATAACTCCAAAAAGAAGCATTTTTGAAACAATTCCAGGATAGAAAAAGTATTTTTTTCGATGAGATACGCCTAAAAAATGTTTACACGAAGCGATTCGGAAAATTGTCATTTAAAAATATGACAGGGACGGCGAGGCCGATGCTGTGTCAATAAAATAACACTACGCGGCGATGTTACATGCACCAGATATGAAAGAATCCGAATCTGGAGGCTGCAAGTGCCACGAGACACAGATTATGAGGATGCGGGACCTACGTCTACGTAAAATAAAATGATCAGTCAATTGTAGCATCCATCCGCGTTAAGTGAAGTCATGTAATACTCAGCCTCAATTTTGAACACGCACGGTCAGTGAGGAGATTTGGAGTCTACATTCAGTCCAGTCCAGTCCTCCAGTCTACTTACTTAACTATGTTGATAAACACGTGCGTCATAACAATCTTTACTTTAAACGTACTTTTATTGACACATGTTCGAACAAACGAAACAAATGATACCCAAACGTGTGTTCAGTTGTACGAAAAGGGCCTAGAAGCTTATTTGGAAAACAGATGGGAAGATTGTGTAGTTAATTTTGAAAAAGCGCTAGAGAAATATCGAAAATATCGGAAAAAAGTGCAGAATTGTCGGTTAAAATGTAAAAGTGATGCTGAATATTCGGAACCGCTGTACCCAGTCGACATAGAAAACCTACTGTTTTTTGAACGGGCTATTAGACAAACTTTGTGTATTATTGAGTGCCAAAATGGTAGTCCAGAGATCCTGGAAAACCATAATGTTAATATGGAATCCGGGAATTTGTTTGAAGACCAGCGTCCTTACGAATATTTACACATTTGTTACTTCCAGGTAAATATTTGAATCTTTTTAACCTTCTACAATTTAAATGAGACTATTGAATTTTTTATTTATTTTAAACGAAATTGTTTAAAGCTTGTAAAGCTTTATTAATATGTTCAAGCGTATGAAAATTGTCAGTGCCTTTCTTCGCTCAACCTTTTGTATTTGTCTTTCTCGTTCTATTCCCTATATTATATATTTATTTTAATATGACTTCTATACTGTGTTTCTTCTAGATCTTTCTTTCTCTCTTCTACCTATATTGTCAATTCTGTTTTTTTCGTTAATTCTGTTGTATTTCTACTCTCTTTTTCAATCTTTTGTTTATCTGCTTGTAGCTTGTTGTTCTAGATATTGATTTGAGCTTTGAGCCTGTTTGGTAAATTAAATTATTTGTCTTCTTCCATCGAATCATTTTTCAAATTGTTCTAACTACTATAAGCAGTGGTTGGAATGTTGGAATTCCACATATACTCGTGGAAATGTTACAAAACCCTTTCTTAAATGTTATGTTTTAATGCCAAATTTTTTCTACCACCCAATTGTTTCCCACAACCCAAAACATATACAAATATTTTTGAAAATTCGCTCCTCAGCGAGAAATACTTCAGAAACATCTACGTCTCTACTGAATTTAAAATACTCGGTAAAAATTTTAAAAACTTAAATACTTCTTCTTAACATGCCATACACCAAAGTGCGTAGGCGACTATCTCATTACTAGAATTCTGTTCTTGGCGGCGTGACACAGCTCACCTGTATTGTGTATTCCTGTCCATTCTTTAATATTCCTTAACCAGGACAATTGTTTGCGGCCGGCTCCTCTCCTACCTTCGATCTTCCCTTGTAGGATTAACTGTGGTATTTCATATTTTGCTCCTCTCAATATGTGCCCAAGGTAACCAATCTTGCGTTTTTTAATTAATTCAAAGAGTTCTCTTTCCACGCCGGCTCTATTAAGGACGTCATCGTTTCGAACTCTATCCACCCAAGGTATGCGCATCATTCTTCTCAATGACCACATTTCAAATGCTTCAAGTTTGTTGATAGATGTTTTTTTCAAAGTCCACGTTTCCATGCCATAAAGCAAGATGGACCATATGTAGCACTTGACCATTCTGTAGCGTATTTCGAAGTTTAGGTGTTGATTACATAGGAGCGGTCTGAATTTCACAAAAGCTTGTCTTGCCATTTGTATTCGGGTTTTTATCTCGTGTTGTGGATCCGATTGGTCATTGATTGTGGTGCCAAGGTATTTAAAAGTTTTCACGCGATTTATACGATTGTCACCTATGCATAATATCGGGTTTTCTGGAGGGTTTCTGCTAATGACCATATATTTCGTTTTCAAAATGTTGATTTTGAGGCCATATTTTTTACCTATGCTATTCACCCTATCAAGTAATAACTGCTGATCTTCCAAATTATCAGTTATAATCACTGTGTCGTCCGCATAGCGTAGGTTGCTAATTGGTATGCAGTTCACCTTAATGCCTAATTCCGTATCTTCTAATGCTTCCGCAAATATATTTTCAACATATAAATTAAAAAGCATCGGAGAGAGTATGCAGCCTTGGCGGACACCTTTCCGGATTTCAAATTCATCCGTATATTGGTCTTGATCAATCCTCACCTTTGCCATTTGGTTCCAGTATAGATTCTGAATAATTCTGATCTCCTTCTGGTCAATGTTGGCCCTATGTAGTAGTTCCATCATGATATCATGTTTAACATTGTCAAATGCCTTCTCGTAGTCGATGAAGGTGAGGTAGACATCTTTTCGTTGATCTAAGCAGTTTTGTATTAAGGTGTTCAAACATAAAATTGCCTCTCTTGTTCCTAGTCCTCCCTTAAAACCGAATTGTGTTGACCCGCTAAGTTCTTCTAGTATCTTATACATTCTTGAGTGTAATATCCTAAGGAAGAGTTTCAACAAGTGACTCAACAAGAACGTGTTCATGCATTTGGCATACTGTGAACAAGAAACGATGACAGCAGCCATTCTCGCGGAATGTAACCAGTATCATAAATTCTATTGAACAGCCTTACCAAGATTTCGATATTCTCCTCGTCTAGTAGTTTTATTGCTTCTATATTAATTTCATCTGGACCTGTTGCTTTATGCATCTTTGTGGTTCTAACTGCATATTCTATTTCACTTAGCATTATTGATGGCCCTGATAAGTTTTCGGAAGGAAGTTTGCGCGTTGGTTGTGTTGGTCTTTCGTCATTAAAAAGGCTTTCTGCGTATTCTTTCCACGCCATGCTATCTCTTCTTCTGACTCTATGTATTCGTTTCTGTCGTTGCGTATTCTTGTTCTGTGGTGGCTTTTGTGTATATTCGATATTTCTTTGATCTTCTTATGTAGTCCAAAACTATCTCCTTTTTCCTGCAATTGTTCTGTTTCGTTGCACCTTTCCACCATCCAACGTTCTTTTGCTTTCTTAATTTTCTGACGGATTTCTTTGTGTATCTGTTTGTATTTGTCTTGATTACGTTGTTGTTTATGTTGCCTTCGCTTTTCCATTAGATCCATAATTTCGTCCGTCATCCATTCGTTATGCTTTATCTTTCTGATCTGTGTTTTAACTTCCCTGTTTACTGCCAGAATCGTTCCTTTAATATCATTGACCATCTCTTCGATATCATAATTTTGTTCTATTACTCGCATTCTTTCATTAATTTTATTCGCATAACTCTTCTTCAGATTTTCGTCTCTCATCAGTTCTCTTGTATTTATAGGTGTGCTGGTATTTGTATTTGTTCTCGTAATTTTTGCTAGTTTTAACCTCACATCTGCTATTAGCGGATTATGATCGAATGCAATATCAGCACCTGGATATGCTGCGATTCTTTTGATAGCGTTACTAAATCTTCTGTTTATTAAAACGTAGTCAATTTGGTTTCTAATTATTCGATTTGGACGGTCTCCTGGTGATCTCCAAGTATATAACTTACGAGGTGGAAGCTGAAACCATGTGTTCATGACGACAAAACCGTTCTCCTGGCAGAATTCACACAGCAGGTCGCCTCTTTCATTTCTAACTCCAAGGCCGTACTCTCCAATTATGTCTTCATATCTTCCTTTACCCACCTTGGCGTTAAAGTCGCCCATTATTATGTTTATGTCCTCTTTCTTTGTTAGTCTTATTGCTTTTTCCAGATCTTTATAGAACTTAGTTATTTCTTCTTCTGACTTATCTGCTGTTGGTGCATATGCTTGTGTCACATTTATGTTTACTGGTTTGCCTGTCATTTTGATCAACATGACCCGTTCGGAAATTGGAACTTAAATACAGCATTGTCAAATTTGAAAAAACGTTAAAAAGTCCTTATTTTTCGTTAGAAACCAATTTTTGACAATGTTCCCTAATTTTAGAGCAAAAATCATTCTAGAGTCTTATTCAACGACCTCATAAAGATAAGAAAACTTTATCGAGATGTTATAACTTTCGTTAAAGTTACCTAAGGTAAAAACTGTCCTAATATGTTTGCAAGTCTGGAAGCCTTACTTTGTGATGACAATCTAGGCGTATTTCCGATTTATCATAATCATCATCAGTAGCTATTCCGTCCATCGTCAGATGTGTGTGTGCCTCCCTTAGGTGGGTTCATAAACTTCTCTTATTTGCTCTTGCCTCCACTCAATAATTCAACTATATCTTTTTGTATTTAGGTCTAATAAAATTTCCTGCAAATTTGTCTCTGTGTTTTGCTATTAACTCAACATTATCGACAAATCTCAGGTTCAGTTTAGCCGTCTATCGTCACTCCGTAATTTCTGAGTCTACATTTGTGATTATATTTTCAAACAATGACCAATAACCGATCCACCTCACAAAAAAATTGATTCGTCAATACAAACTCAAAGAAATATTTCTTATGTTCTTCGAAATATTCGTCGATACTGAAATAGAAATTCGACTTACTTGGAAACTTAATCCTAACTTAAGTGACCTAAATTTTGATCGCCACTGTATTCAATAAACGCTACAGAGTATTTGAAACCACAACAAATTTATAGATAAAATTATCTCGTCAATAAATAACTCAGTCAGTTTAAATTTATAGACAAAGATGCCTGTTATCTTATTAATGTTGATAACTGTTGGTCTCACAATCCCATTAAGAGATATTGGTTCATTTTTTAAACACGATTTTGTGACTTCTTCAGGAGAAAACTGTAAATTTATTATAATTATTATATGTAAACAAAATGAATATTTCAATACTTACAACTTAAGATTAAAAAATTTAAAATTTTTATAATATATCCAATTTAAATAAATGACATTTTTTTTTTATTTTAATTTATTTGGGAGTTATGGTAACCGCAATATTTTATAGAGTGAATTCCCATTGTACAATTTTTAGCGAATAAGTTTTAGTAAACAATTACATATTGTGACAGTATTATCCATATAATAAGGTGCAAAAGTAGAAGATTGAGAAAGAATCAGGAACATGGTAAATTGATTTATAAAATGTAATTGATGGTACGTAGTCAGTTATTGGTCTGATGTTGTTAGATACTGATATTAAGATCTATCATATCATATATTGTTTAGTATATTACAGTAGATATTACTTAAATGGTTGGTGTCTGTTTTATAATTGATAGATTCTGGAGTTTTATTAATGTGTACCATTTTAAGAAAAAGTCGATTTTTATAATTATCAACTTGTTCCAAGATTTTTACATTATTAAAGTCAAAGTTATGTCCTGTCTTTAAGTGGTAGTCCACTAAGGCACAAGAGTTTTTTCGTAAGTTACAGTCACTTTTGTGTTGAGTGACACGTTATTTAAGCCACTGTTGACTTAAACCACTCAATAGTGACCTATATCCATTGTTGGATATAGGTCTCCCCCAGTTCTCTCCATCTTTTCCTATCTTGAGCTGTTCTCTGCCATGTGGGACCTCCTTGTTTCCTGATGTCATCTTTCCACCTCATCTGTGGTCTGCCTCTTGATCTCTTTGCATTGTATGGACGCCACTTTCCGATGGCA